ATTGCCACAGAAAGCTTACATCAACAAATATTAGAATATTAAGTGGTAACAGGGAAGGTATCTAACACAGCAAACAGTGAGAAAAGGGATAGGAGGAAAGACAAATAAACAGACCCAAATAGCGCTCTTCTGAAAGACCATTAACATTTTCATGCCAGTGTTTGTCTGAAATAAGATTGTTTAAACTATTTGACAAAGAATATGAACCAAAACATTTTTCTGAAAACAAGATAACTATTGTCTTCAAAGAATAACAGGAAAAGTTGATAGCTCATAATATGCCTGAGGAACTGAAATGGAATATGAATAACATGATTGGCTAAAATAGAGATAAAAGATGAAAAGTGAAGAGTTAGCACTTTGTTACTATAGAAGCAGAGTATTAGGTAATACATGGATATTTTAAGAGAGTATTAAAATGATAATCTTGAGATAAATGGAAGTTAAGGAACCACATAGGAAGAAAAGACTATTAATGCATATCTCTGAAACACCATTGGAGTCATTTTGAATTAACAATTGATTTCTCTAAATCTTTGATTCTACATAGGAAAGAAGAATCTTCCTAGAAGTGGTAATACTCAAATTTATTGCTCGTGCATTAAAAAACCTAATCTCAAACATCAGATAGAAGACTAAGTTCAGTGGCGGTTAGTATCAATGTCTTACAACGTTATTTATGATATTTTTTAAAAACCACTAGCAGTCTGAAAACTCGCTTCATTGCTGTCTTCATCTCTTTATTCCTGAGCGTGTAGATAACTGGATTTAGAAAAGGAATGAGAACTGCATCAGAGAGAGCCAGGAATTTGTCTATTTGGGCATTGGGATGTGGCCATGTATAGACGAACATGGTGGGACCAAAGAAAAAGAAAACCACAGTGATGTGAGCTGACAGGGTAGAGAGGGCCTTGGATGATCCACCTGAGGAATGTTTCCAAACAGTAAGTAGGATGTAGATGTAAGAGACCATAAGTATCAAAAAAGATCCAACACAGAGGAACCCACTGTTGACAGTGACCATGAACTGCAACTTGTAGGTGTCTCTGCAGGCCAGTCGCAGGAGCTTGGGTAGGTCACAATAAAAGCTGTCTAAAACATTAGGGCCACAGAAGGGTAGATCAGTGATAAATGCCAACTGGAAAAGTGAGTGGATTACACCAAGGGCCCAGGCAGAAGCCAGAAACAAAATGCATAGCCGTGGGCTCATGATGGTCAGGTAGTGGAGAGGCTTACAAATGGCCACATATCTATCAAAAGCCATGGCGATGAGCAGCACCATTTCCACACCACCTATGAGATGGATGAAGAA